TGGACGTGAATACTCATTAGTTTTTTTTATTTTTTTATTTAGGGTTTTTTGTCACATCAACTACAAGGTTATTAGCGACATCAAGGAGTAGGTAAAACTTACATTATCTGTTCTATCAGTTTGGTATCTTTTATAAACTTAAGTAAGTGTTTGACCCTATGTGTTGCAATTTAGACGGGTATATAATCTATTCAGTAATAGAAAATGGAGTGTCGAAGAAATGTGAAATCCTTTTGCAATAGATCTTGCGATATATGAGAGATCATGATTTCAGGTAACTTTCAGAATTTTTTTATTAAAACAACAATTAATAATTTCGTAAGATAATGACCCTCCTAGATGTACTTTTGTTAGACGTTCTATGCTACTCATAGCTGAATCATTTGAAATAAAATATTTAAAAAATAAAATTAGATTTTAATATTAAGATCTAGTTATCTAGTTTTTGATCAAAGCACGTTTCGATAAATTGATTTGGGACAAAATGACGGCTGTTCAGAATCAAGATACTGATTTTTAACATGAGAAACCTTTGATTTTAATCAATAAAATAAACTGATAATTACAAATAAAAATCATTCATTGAAGAACTAGTTTTTCATCTGCATAATAAATCTACAAAATTTAGAAGTTTTTGAGATACTTTGATCTCTAATTTTAAAAACGTAGTTTCGAAAAAATTACGTTTAAAGTTTGTTATAAACTTTGAAGGAACTCGCAGAATTCAATCGAAATAACCTGAAACTTTCAAGAAACATTCTGGAGATGTTGTGCATTAATAAGAAAACGTCAAAACTTAAAAATCGAACTTTTTGAAATTTCTAACATGACATATCTCCTTCATGGATTTATATCACAAGTTAAATGAAAATCAAGCATAGAAAAATAAGAAAAAAAAATAGAAGATTGAAAAGCATCTTGTTAATAAAGAACAGCTTATCCATTATAATTGACAGCAACAAGCATCCCTTAATCATCGATGAGGGTTGACGAATTTTAATTGTATTAAATATTTTTGTCACATAGAAGTAAATTTCGGAAACACAGTTAACAGTGGATTCTGGGTCAATCGAGATCCAAACTTACAGAATATTATACAAGGATATTAACTTAAAATAAAATGCATAATTTTTAAATGGAAGTATTTCACATATTGGAAGCATAATTTTTTAAAGGTACGGTATACAATTGTAGGCGTTTAGTGGAGGGGGAGAGGGTTTCGTCTTCCCGGACATCTTACTACTTACTACTAAATCGTTTAGCGCATAGAAAAGTGTCCGAACAAGTACAGTTGAGCTTTGAAAATCCAGAGTACAAGATATATCGCTTGAATAAAGAAATGCGTCTGTTCGGAAGCTTAGTTAGTGGTGGGGGAAACCTACTCGATTAGAAAAATCCAATGAAGCGGATCTATTCGACTAACAAGGGAACATCGGGGACTGATACACTCCGATTTGTATGAAACTTTGCATAAATATTTATTAGACCTGTTTATGAAGATAACTGTAATTCGTTGGTGCCCGTTTTTCACTTTGAGGGAGATATCAACCATTTTATCCGAACCGCCCTTTCTGTATACGTGCTTATAAATCGTAAACAACAAAAGATATCAAAAAATAGTTGAAATAAAAGTTATACCGTTTCTTAAGGTCTATAAAGCTGCGTGTAAGTTTTTTTTTTTAAATCATCCTTTTTGCAAAATTGAATTCCCCCTCACCCTCCGTTTTGAAAAACTTCACGCAGTTTTATAGACCTCAAGAAACGGTATAACTTTTATTTCAACTATTTTTTGATATCTTTTGTTGTTTACGATTTATAAGCACGTATATAGAAAGAGCGGTTCGGATAAAAGGGTTGATATCTCCCTCAAAGTGAAAAACGGGCACCAACGAATTACAGTTATCTTCATAAGCAGGTCTAATAAATATTTATGCAAAGTTTCATAAAAATCGGAGTGTATCAGTCCCCGATGTTCCCTTGTGAATCGTTTTACTAAAACTACTCGACTAAACTGTAGTGTCCATACATAGCAAGTTACCAAATTACTCGCCACTCGACTAAATTACTAGCCGCGTCTGAACCAGCCTTTAGTTCGGACCGGGGACCGCTAGGTGGCGACGAGAGATCGGTGACAATGCTCTCGCAAGCGATCGCCCGGCATGCAGTTCGAATATACATATAGAAGTTCCGAATTGCGGTGTCTGTGGCAGGGATCGTCTGTTGTCAGCCCCACTGACGAGTCTGATAGACGATTCCGAGACGAAACCGCCTTTTTCTCCCCTCTTCTACACAATTTAAAAAATGAAAATAATATGAAATATGAAATTAAATTAAAAAATCCAGGCTTTCTATAATATGGTCCCACGTCCGAGAGTTTAAACCAATCGTGGTGGTTCCCTAGCTTTAACAAAATTGATGGTAAGAAATTCCACATAAAACCTTGTATAGAAACCAAATCTAAAATAACATTTAAAAAGACGGAGGATTCGAAAGCATGCTGTCAAGAAAGAAAATTGAAAACACAAAGAGCGCCTTATCTAGTTGACAGCAACAAGCCATCCCCGAGTAGTTGATGGGGGTTGAAACGAGTCCCGTGGCAACGGGAGCGCCGAATGCCCAGAGCTTTAATGTGTATCACCAACTGCCCTCTCTTTCTTTATTCTCCGTCAGTCTCGACCCTCCTCATCTATCCCCGTGTCCCTCTTCGTCTCTTACCCTCGGCCGCTTTTCTCGTCCCGTCCACAGGGACGATTGACGTATCGATTCCAGCAGGGTGGTGCAGTCTGGCCTTCGCCGTCGTGTCTGCGTGGTCCAAAAGTGCTGGCGTCGCCTCTGCCGTCGTTCTTGCCTCTTCTTTCTTCCTCTTCGAACTATTAGCTTCCCGTTTCCGTCGAGGATCGCGCGGACGATCGATGCGCTCGAGCGTTTTCCGAGCTCGCGTGCAATCCACGTGACGAACGCTCTCCGGACGAATCCTCTCGATCTTTCCGGCTCTTGGACGGACTTTCAGTAAACATGTCTACCGATTAATTCGTTTACTTCTCCGAAAGATCGATTCCACGCGGTTGTTGCGTCTTTCATTCGATTCGAAGGGTCAGTGGTTTGGAGTTTGACAGCGTTCGAGTGACCGGAACCCGAAGTGCTTTGTTGTTTTCCATTCTTGTGCATACAGTGTGAATAAACTTTCACGGTTATTGGCGGAAACGATTCGCGTGGTCGAATTTTATGGTCACGTTTCGTGTGTTCCCTGGGGGGGTTGGAATGAAAACAGGTGATTCGTAGAGGATGCTAGCGAACTGTGGGTTTGATGCTGTTTGGGAGAAAGGTTTCAGTGATGCGTGAGATGGGGTCAGTTGTGTTTTGATCGTGACACAGCGGACAAATATTTGTTTTTCGTATGCGATAATATAGAAGTGAAATCGAAACATTTTGCAAATTAAAAACAGAGAAAATTATTGTGCCTTCTGCGAGTTCATACGATCATTCAAAATGCAATAGCGAAAAAATAAGTGCGTTAAATTTGCAAGGAGAAAACGTAGATCTGCCGCGAAGTGTGCACAGGATAATTTAAAATCGAGGAGAAAAGCATCGACAAAGTTTTGAATGCATCAAACTTGCATTTCCGCAATCAGAGCTGGATAAACACAATATTCAAGACAGCGCTCTATCGGAAGTAACCAGAAACTTAAAATCCCCGTCACGTTTTAGAAAAGACCGTCTTCGCAATACTAATCGATAAAAGAAATAAAGCGAGCCCCGTTCAAAAGTCTAATTAAAGTCTCCTTAATCAATCAATCGATAATTGAAGGAAAAAGGTACTTAAGGTCTTTCCTACCTCATTTCATTACCATTTTTCAAACATCAAGATTGATCTTATCAATAATATTATAAGTACAAGAGATGTATATAAAGGAGAATCGTATCCTACAATCAAACTCAGGGATTATTAATGTTATTGTTAAGCTTGTCAAAGACAATCTTCTTCGTCTAAAGCATTGAAACTGTGAAATCTTGGAAGGTCGAAACAATTAATAGACAAAGTGTCGGTGCTGGTGTACGATGAATTCAACTCGTCTCCATCCGATTTGGAATTTGCATGCATCAAGTTATCATGTTCGATGCAGACCAACGAAACGTCGCCCCCAGAGAATTACTGGAATTATTCGCATCGAATGCTCAGCCTCCTGACATTAATGCGAGGACAGGACGATCAGACTGGCCAGTGGATCAGGAACAGGGTCCTGGTGTCTTGTACAAATAATACGCTGCTACCGTAATTGGCTCGCTGGACGATGATCCAGGACTTTGATTCGTGGTAATCTGTAGCTGAAACCACGGAGCCGTTGTTAGAAATCAGCGGCGATCGAGCGACAGCTCTATCGCGCTCGCAGGTTGGTAGACTTCTGTTTTAAAGCTGATGTAGCGTTTGCGGTTCTTCAAACTTAAGAAAAGAAGCTGGTTAATCATCAGTTCCATTTTGTTTTAATTTTTCAAGTGGATAGAGAATTGAAAAATATTAGACACCGATTTTTTTAAGTGCACATATTCATTTTAATCTTCGAACGGCGCGGCGGACCATGGAGAGAGCCTCAATTTTAATTCAATTTTGTATCTCATATTATTTTCATTTTCTAAATTTTACACTGTTCTTTTAACAATTATTCATCCTTAACTTTTATGTTTTGTAAGTTTGACTCACAATTGATACGGGCCTCGTTGTACAAGGGTTATTACAGAGACAGGGTAGAACTTAAATTTTTACCGAAAGGTTATAGAATTGATCCTCTTATAGAACACGAGCCCTAATTTTAATTAATTAGACCCCAAATTCCTACCAGATCACTGGGAATTTTTCCGAATTCCCGATACCCAGTTCGCCCTAGCTTCAACACGTTCCAGGGGTCACCGGTGATTGGCATTACAAATTACGCATAGTCGAATAATTGAAGGGGAACAATAGAAAAATATTATTTTGAAAAATATTGCTGTCGCACTAATGATACGAGGTAGCAAGTAGAAAGATTGACTTGTAAAATTTAAAAGTCAACTATTTCTATTCTGAATAATTGGATATTTAATAGTATCCCAATAAGTGTCTATTTTCACTGCGACAGTCAACATGTTAAAAATTGAAAATCGCATCCTCTGAAGTAGTCAGGATCAACAGCTGATTTAGGGAAGGTCTAAGGAGGTTACAGTTCTGAACCCCATTTTGCAGAGGGCCTCGTTATAAATCTTTTATTTACTAGGTTAAAAAATATTGAATGAAATTTTGTTTCAAGTTATAATAAATAATAGTTTTTACTAATTCGTCCTGTATTTGACAGTAAGTTGTAATGTTCATTGAATTTTTGTATTTACACTAAATTTTCTATAATTTTTAGGATATAATACACTTATTCATTTTCTATATTTTACATACAAAGATTTTGGAATAAGGCGAAACGCTTATAACCATTTTTGTAATTTTATGGTCTTCATTTTTGGGATATATCATCATCCATTTTTGATTCCGCAGGACATGTAGATTAATGGTATGTAGAAATTCTTATTTCCTCTCAACCTACCAAAATTGACTATAAACTAGCATTTCCCTTTAGATATTTACTTTGTCTGATGAGATTCAGGAATTTAAAATATGTTACAATCTGTAAAAATTTATCATCCTCTTTCAAATTAAATTTTTATTTATTCCAAAGGAAATAGGATTCTGGTTTTCCTGGAAAGGGCTTCACCTTTTCACGGCCATGGATCGCTCTTTGATCTCGCTTGACTTGCGTGAAAAAAGAGCAGGGTCAGCCCATTGCAACCTACGCAGGGAAAAAACAAGCTTCCCTTCTTTCCTTTAACCATGTTCTAGAAAAAAAAGAAAAGAAAAAAATGACACGAAAATTTTGCAGATTTGAAATTAATATTTTGCAATCTTTGTCTGATTTTAAATTCTTATACGAACAATTAAATGATCATGAAATTATGGTTGCATTTTGAACCTTTTTTTGCACCTTAGATACAGGTTTTAATTGACATTTAATTTTATTAATGAACATGTTACATTTATTAACTCTTTGCACTATAATTATTTTATTAAATTGTATTTAACATTTTATCGCCAAATTCTTGGTTGTTTAGTAATATTTTTTTCAAGAAATCACAGTCATTATTTTGTTTTATTTATTATTAAAAAAAAAAAAAATTGAAATTCATACATTTACAAAAATAAAAAATGATATTCAGAATTAATTGCATAAATTAATTTTTTTTTCATGTATCGTGTGCACTATTGCATTTTTCAATTATTCGTTGTGATTTATTATTTATTTTGCAAGCACAGAAAATTTGAATTATGAAAATGAGAGAGGACATTTATTTCACTGAATTCTCTGCATTTTGTAAAATTGTTGTTTGAAGTAGTGCAACAATGCGTCGAATGAAGTTTTTCAGAGACTGCAATCAGAATGCATTTTACGCAATTGAATCTCCGATTTCATTACTCGGGTTTAATCGTTCATACAAAGGAACAAATTTTGCATTTCACCTGCAATATGCAACAAGCACATGTAATCATGAATTCTATTTTCAGATAGCTATGATCCGTTCTTTTGTATTCTTTTAAAGCAGCGCATAAATATTACATTTTGTAATTAGCAATCTAGAGGGCTCAATGCATTAAACTTTTTTGTTGATTCTTTAGATTTTCTATCGCTGAAATTTGTAATTAATTATAAATTTTCTATCTATACATGTACAATAAGAAAAACAATTAGTGTTTTTGAAAATCAATGGAAGACGATAAAATATAAAATGAGAATTAAAAGTTTGTCAAAAATTTTTATCTTGTCAGATCATAATTAAGGATGTTTAATATATCTAAAAAAGGAGTGTATGTCGTTTGGTGCACATTTGATAAGAAATGACCGATGAAATGCATATTATGGACCTGTATTTATTATTGTTTGTTTATTTGGGGACAGCTCCACATTTGAGAAATTTTTCAGAAATAAAAATAAAAACTTGTTTATTTTTAACTTATAAAGTTTATTTATTTTGTATGGTTTTGCATTTTTAGAATAACTGTGTTTTTATCCAAGAATTAGTTGAATAAATAGAATATTTGGTGTATGTCAGATCCCACCTTATCAGTGAAGGATTAAAGTTTATAGCTGACTGCTGGTAGCAATAACATGGTCTTCATGACAGCTATAATTTTTCACTTTTTGGAAATCGGAAGCTGAATAAAATATACATAAATTTATAATTGAATGCTTCACAGTTCTATCATTAAAATGAGAAAAGTAATTATAAATTTGGCTTTAAAATATTATATTTGCAACTATCTGATTTTGATTAGACTAGAAAGGCAGTGGAAGGATTAAAATAACCATCGAAGTTAGGCTGTTTCCAAATATCTGACAAACTATTTATTATAGAAAAAAAGTGAAAATGTACGATATTACAGTAGAGTTCCAATTAACCACCACATTTGAAATATATATATGTATTCATTGAAAAAGAAATATTAATAATTAATTACGTGTATACTTCATATATTCTACATTTGTATATTCTATTAAATTTATTTTTTATTTTTGTTAATAAATTACATTACTATATTATGATCATTTCTTAAAATTATTTTCTCGATTTTTATCATTTTATAAGTATAGTCCAATTATCTGGCATATTTAATTAGCTGACATTGCTTCGGTCTCGAGTATGCCGGCTAATTGGAATTCTACTGCAGTGTATTTTCGAATAACGTATTCATCTCTATAAACAAATTTTCAAGAAAGTAATTTGTTTAGAGCAAATATCATATTTAAAAGTAACAAATTTTTGCAAATTTCTGGAAAATAATTTTATTTCTGTACATATTTAAAAAAAAGGGGAGCCTTTATTCAGTCCATATGTCTCTCGACCTGTAGGTAAATCTGTGCTCATATCTTTTTCCAAACGTTTTCTCGTCAAACATTTTCAATTTGATCGATTCAACAGGTAGGTCACTTCTACCGTGACCGTATTACGAACATTTCGATAAAACGACTGTATTAAAATAGACAACGCGTTCATTCCTTGGACCTGAAGCTTGTGGAATAGTTTGCAGGTTGTTATGTCCGTAGGTCGGATTGGAGAAGGAGCCAAGGATTCACACTGATCTCACATAAGACGAATACATGTATGTATATTGTTACATATAATGTTACACATAATGTTACACACGAATGACTTTAATACCACATGCCGCTGCCGATCAGGGGAGACTGCTCGTGTGCGATGCCTAAAGGCTGGTTCAGGCACGACTAGTAATTTAGTCGAGTGGCGAGTAGCTACTTACTACTAAATCGTTTAGCGCATAGAAAAGTGTCCGGACTAGTACAGTTGAGCTTTGGAAATCGAGAGTACAAGATATATCGCTTGACTAAAGAAATGCGTCCGGACAGGTCTGTTCGGAAGCCTAGTTAGTGGTGGGGGAAGCCTAGTTAATGGTGGGGGAAGCCTAGTTAATGGTGGGGGAAGCCTAGTTAATGGTGGGGGAAGCCTACTCGACCAGAAAAATCCAATGAAACGGATCTACTCGACTAACTCGTTTTACTAAACTACTCGACTAAACTGTAGTGTCCATACACTAAACTACTCGCCACTCGACTAAATTACTAGTCGTGTCTGAACCAGCCTTAAAGGCCCGTACCCAACATAGGTAAATCGTAGTCTCAAGACTTTCATAGCTCAGAGTTAGAAAATTATTATTGGCAGATGCTTTTGGGTGTAAACCGTGCTCTAAAAAGGATTATCAGTATAGTAAGCGCTCGATAATTCCCCGTATTTTGGACTGTGGAAATGGGCATTCCTAAGAAACGCAATTCTCGGGCGTCAATGGCATACGTGTCTTTTTCATAGTTCTTTTGTTTCTATAGCACAGTTATAGGGTGAAGTTCCTTTTAGCACTCCCCTTCAATTGACTTTAAAATCCCCAAGTAAACTTCTCATGCATAATAGAGTAACGTGAGTAAGTCACGTGGCGCGGAAATTCTTGGTTCATGAAAAATTGCGGCCATTTTCATCACCACTATCTTACTCTTCTAGACAACAGCAACGAGATTTTAAATTCATCTAATCAATCACGTCAGTTCACTTTCTCATCTCATTTGCTTTCTCAATCGCAACTCTACGAACCAATATCATCTCTGGGTCTCTTGTTCTCTTGCTCGCCATAATCAATGGCAAAAATATCCAGTAAATCCTGTTAGATGTTAGGTAACGCTTGTATTTCTAAATGTCAATTAACTGTTTTGCTTTGAACTCTTTTGATCGATCGCTTTTTACTTCCTACGTCAAATGCTGAACTTTCTGATCGATTGCTTCAGACCTGCTTCTGTCGAATGCTTTATACTTTCTGTTAGTTGCCAAGATGTTCGCAAATACAAATTTTAAAGGGGGAGTATTTTAACACGTTGATTGCCACAGTAGAAATGGGTGTGTGTGGTCGGACATATCCAAACACTAATTACTAAATATACGATCAATTATTTTACAAATTTTAAATTTCAATTCAAAACAGAACATTGAATTTTATCTGATATTAAACACGTAACAAATACATAATATACACTCACTATCCAGATATAATTATAAACATAAAAAGTTAGGAAATTACAAAATTGAAAAATCGGTGAAACAGGAAATTACAAAATTAGGAAATTGGAAAGTTGAAAATTTAAGAAATTAGGGAATTAGAGAATTAGAAAATTAGAAAATGAAGAATTTAGGGACTTGATATGTTGGAAATTTAGGAAATTAGGGAATTAGAAAATTAAAAAACAAGAAAGTCAGGAAATGAGGAAATGAGGAAATTAGAAAAATAAAGAATTACAAAATCAGAAAATTATTACTATTAATTGAAGTTGGAAATACTAAAGTAAATGGTAGTAGAAAATAGGATTTTCCAAACATACGCATTTTAATTTACCAGTGAGGCTGACGCCAAAACGCTGTTTATGAAGCACGTCGTATTAAGTGAATATTTCGCATTAATAGAAACAGATTCGCTATAATGTTTCGTTATTACGACATCCGAGCGATCGCACGGTTTACTAGAGAACTTATTTGACTGGCGGTTGGAGCATTTACGAAATAAACGACGCTTTAAGGGTAAGCTGGTCAGGGATGCGCAAGGATTCTTGGAAAATTGCCAACCTTGGAATATAACCCTTCGTAGCTTACAATGTGGGTCTTCAATATTGAAACCAAATAATGCTTTATTAAATTTGGAGTTTATTTTGAAAATTATTGTAATGTATGTATTTATTCTAAAGGAACAGTCAGTTATGTTTCTTGTGGTTGCAAACGAATAATTGTTTATTTAGAAGATGTACCATTTATTTTGAAAGTACACTCACGATCAAATTAGGCTTTCCATGAGAAAATGGTGATGTTGCGGGTTTCTGCATTCCCCGCAGACATCTCCGGGGGAAAATAATATAGGGAAAGGAATCTCATATACAGGGTCTACCATTTATCTCGGAACCCGTGCGCGGGCGAACTCATGAATATGGCAACAGCGCTAAAATTCGATATATGCGCCCTCTGCAAATCATTGCTGAAAGTACATTGTCATCGTAAAAATCTCTAGAGTTAAGTTGGTAATCGACCGAACTCTGGTCCGAGATTCGATTCGGGATAGTGGAACTTTGAGTCGGCTTGGCTCGGCTCGGCTCGGCAAAATTCGGGCGCGATCGGCAGAGAGACAAACATACTCGTATCCCGAATCGAATCTCGGACCAGAGTATCGCCGATCATGCCAAACGTTGCACTGTTGCCACATTCATGAGTTCACGCGTGCACGGGTTCTGAGATAAACAGTAGACCCTGTACAATATCAATCATAGTGTCAGTTCATCTAGTGGAAAAGCACTAAAGGGGCAGGTGCCCCTACTACCTTATGTGAATGAG